AATCACTATACTTTATTTGTATCCTCAAGGTTTATTACCTATAACCTTTTTACACACCTACTAATTAAATAATACGTTAGGGGCAAATAAAACCTTAAGGAAAGTGGTACCATTATACTTTTTGGAGTCTTTCCTTAAAATTTTAGATTTACTAGAAACAATAATTCCAAAATTTCGATGTTTTTTCTAACAATCTTAAGGTTTTATTCAATTCAACAATGGCTATTGAAGCAACGCTCTGAGAATTGGCTTTTAGTTTGTTAAATTGGATCATTTTGATAGTGGTAATTTTTGAAAATGACAAAAGAAAATGCATTTCCTGCTTTCAACTTTGAATGTTGTATATGTTCTAAATACTCTCAGGCTAAAAAAATGAAATAACGAAATCTATTACTGTAATAAGAGAGAGGCAAAAATGGGATATTGTAGATTACATGTGTAAATATCATATTCTAAATGGTTTGTCTGACAGCTTGTTTGACACTTACCAAAACGAGACTACCGTAAATGAGTTATAGGACAAATTAAAAATCAGGTATATGACTGAGGATGTAACAAGTAAGAAATTTTTTGTTAGTCGTTTCAATAATTATCATATAGTTTATGGACGTTCTGTGATTGAACAACTATATAAAATTGAAAGAATGCTTAATCAGTTTAAATAATATAATATGAGTATGGATGAAACAATTATTATGTCCTCTGTAATAGACAAATTTTCTTCATTATGAAGGACTTTAAAAGAAGTTTGAAACATAAAAAAGAAAAAATTACTTTTAAGGCTTTGGCTAATCATCTTTGAATTAAAGAGGAATATAGAAAACAAGAATAGAATTTTGATTTCGGTGATGTTAAAGTTCATGTTTTGAAGAAAAGATAGAATACAAAAGTTAACAAAAAAAAGTTCAAGTTCAAGTAGATTGCTAATGGGCCTAAATTCAAAAAGAATAAGAAAGGTTCATGTTACTATTATAGTAAGCCAGAAAATTTCAAGGACTAGATTTCCTTATGTTCATTACGGAAGGGACTAGTGAAAGCATGAACAATAAAATTTCTTATTGTTTTAATGTGGAGTCTAATCCTATTACATGTGAAGAAGCAATGAAGTTTTAAGATTTTACTTTTTGAAGAGAAGCAATAAATGATGAAATAGACTTAATAATGAAAAATAACACTTGAATTTTGGTTGACCTTCTATCAGGTTCTAATCCAATAGGTTGTAAATGGATTTAAAAAAAAAAAATGAAGGTGGATAGAACCATAGATAAATTTAAAGCAAGGTTGGTAAGCAAGGGCTTTACACAAAAGTAAGGGATGGACTACTTTGATATTTATGCTCCAGTAGTTAGAATTGCTACAATTAGGCTTCTAATTTCACTTGTCTTGCTTTATAATTTGATTATACATCAAATGAATGTAAATATGGCATTTTTAAATGGTGACTTAAAAGAGGAAGTATATATGGAACAACTAAAAAGGTTTATCATTCCAAGTCAAGAGCATAAAGTTTGTAAGCTTGTCAAATTCTTGTATAGACTTAAATGAGCACCAAAACAATGGCACCAAAAGTTTGATGAAATTGTTTTGCTAATGGTTTTAGAATTAATGAGTCAGATAAATGCAAGTATAGCAAATTTAAAAATGACAAAAGAGTCATAATTTGCTTATATATGAATGATATTCTAATATTGGGTAATGATTCAGAACAAGTTAAAAAATAAAAAAAAAATTTATCAAATAACTTTTTAATGAAAGATATAAGTGTGGCGGATGTTATTCTCGGAATTAGAATAATCCGAAATGATGTGGCATAACCATGTCATAATCACATTATATTGAAAAGTATTTAAAAAGTTTAATCTTTTTGATTGTATTCCAATATCTATACCTATGGATTCTCAATTGAAATTAGTATCTAAGACTAGTAGAACAATCGATCAATCATAATATGTAAGAGTAATTGGTTGTCTGATGTATACCATGACTTGTACAAGGCCAGACATAGCATTTGCTATTGGAAAGTTGAGTAAGTACACAAGTAATCCAAGTAACTTGCATTGGCAAGCAGGTAAAAGAGTACTTTGATATTTAAATAAAACAATTAATTATGGATTGTGTTATAGTGGATATCCTTCAGTTATAGAAAGATATTCTGATACTAGTTGGATTACTAATATAGAAGATCATGCTTCTACAAGCAATTGAATCTTTGTACTTGGTAGAGGTGTCATTTCTTTAGGTTCCAAGAAACAAACATGCATAATAGATTCCACCATGTTAGCCGAGTTTATTACATTAGCCACAACAGCTAAATAAGCTGAATAACTAATAAATTTATTATATGAAGTGCCTTTATGGCATAAACCACTTTCCCTAATTTCTATCTGATGTGATATTGAAGAAACTCCAGCAATGGCATATAACTAAGTATATAATGAAAAGTCTAGACATATTGGATTAAGATATAACTATGTTTGACAATTAATTTTAGATGGAGTAATCACTATAAATTATATGAGGTCAAGTGAAAATTAGGTAGATTTTTTAACCAAAAATCTTGCTAGAAAATTGGTAAAAAAAGACCTCAATATGGATGGGGCTCAAGCTCATGAAGTAAAGTCACCTATGATGGAAACTCGACTCAACGCTTGGTATTAGGTCAATTATTGAGTTCAATAAGACAAAGTACATCACCTGTATGTGACTACTAGCACTATAATAATATTTAATGCCATCTCAAGTAAAGTGCTAGGTACCTGCAATGGTAAAGAAAAGATGAGTAACATACTCTTAATAGACCCATAACATAAACATGTTGGAGTGTTATAGTGTTATAGTTACAAGAACACTCTTGATGGGAGCTACCTATGCAAGTGTAAAGTGTGACTGCTTCTAAGAGTTTAAGAGCTTGGCTCTAACAGTACTCATGAAAAAAGGATGTAGACACATGGCCATAAATATGTCATCAGATACCAAGTATTCATTGGGTGTTGAAATCATTGTGTGAGACAAGTTTTGTTAACCAAATGGAATAGCTAGTTCAAAGCATAGTTTACCATATGATTTTAGTTAACTTTAACTTGTTTTCACTAAGTGAAAGTTAAAATCAAAATATACCTTTATTTATATAATTGATTTCTAAGGTCATCATAAATCTGAATTATTTTGAAATTGATAGGAGATTGTTAGAAATTTTTAAAATAAAATATTGGAAATAATCCCACATTGAAAAAGAAAAAATAAAGACAGATATTTAAGTTTGCTCAAAATAGAGGGATAAATCTTTTCAAAATAAACAATTTTTGTCTATTCAAAATAGAGAATTATGTTTGTAAGAAAGGATAATTATTTGTTTATAAAAGGCTCTTTTAGTTTTTTGAAAAGATATAATAACAATTCTTGAAACTCTCCCTTTTTCTTCAAACTTCAAATTTTTTTTATAAAAGTTTTACTGCAAAAGATCTTTATAGAAGTTTAGTGATCGTATAATACGTCGGTAAATACTTGATAGACTAATTTTATCAGTACAAAAAGCAATCAGTCACTAAACTTTATTTGTATCATTAAGATTTATTACTCAACTCTTTTACATACTTACTAATTAAATAATATTATAAAAATAAATAAAATCTTAAAAAAAGTGACATTGTTATACATTTGAAAATTTTTTTTAAAATTTTAAATTTATCAAAAATAGTAATTCTAATTTTTTAGTGTTTGCTTTAACACTGCCAACGTTAGAAAGTGAAAATTTATAGCTTAATCAGCTGTCCTTTCACCTTACCCTCCATTGCAACTACGCTGTTCCCTGGCTAGAGGGACCAGAGTAACAGGAGCTTTTAAGCAGCGGATTTAGATGCACCACCACTGATGATCATGATCCTATAATATAAAGCATCACATTCATATCTCGTGGAGGCTACGAATCACTATCGTCAGCGAACAGTCTTACTTAGGTTTCAGGAGCTAATTTTATCTTTTCTCAAATATAATGAAGGGTTTTTAATTACCTGTTACAATCAATTGTACAAAGGCCTGAGAGACAGGCAGTGTACGTGAAAACGGTTGCCACAGAGGTACCTACAATAGTGAGAGCTGGCCTAGGTCCTTCCGGGGCTCCGTCGAGCGGTGTGAGCCACTTTTCACGCATCAGTTAAAAGCTTTGCGAAGTTATCCTAGTTCATGAGTCGCCTATAAATTTTCTGACTTCTAAACATCCATAGGCGTTCCTGTTTATGTCCCACGTCTGCCGTGGCATACATTCTAGTTGGTTCCCGTTTTTAATTTAAAAAATGCGTTTATTAAGCAGAAAAAACTCATAATTTATGTCTAAAATTATCTTTATTTTTAAGTGAAATTCATGATATTTTCTTGTCACCGAATTATGCAGCACTTTCATTGCACTAGCTTATTCGTCCACACATATATTTTTTTACCTTGATTTAGATCTATCTTAATTTTGATACCTTGATTCAGACTTATCATATATTCACATTTTCAATTAAAAAACATGTTCATTAGATAGAAAAAATCCATGATTTGTAACTTCAGAATCATCCTATTTTTCCAAGTTGAAAGTGATATCGATTGACAACTAAAATTTATTCTGACCATAAATATTAAATTATGTTTAATATATAAGATGATAGATAAGATATAATAATAATAATTTAATTTATATTTAATTTATTAAAAGTGATAAAATTACAAAGAAAATTAATCATCTTTTTTATATAAAATAATTTAATTCTCTCAAGATGGAGAGGGTTATTTTAAATTCATGAAATTTAATTTATATATCCTATTATATTTTTAAAAATTACATCAATAATTTAAATTATATAAATTTTGAATAAAGATAATTTTAATCAATAAATAAATTATTTTATCTTAATCTTTATACACATCAAATATAAAATAAAATAATATTATTTAATCTAATTTTATTCATAATATCATTTTAATTTATCTTATTATAATTTTATATACCACACACATCTTTAATAGCCAATCTTTGAAAACTAATGCAAAACTTGAATAACACAGTCCACTCAACCTCTAGCCCCGCAAGCCCTCTATCTATCGAACTCCAGAGCATGTTAAACGTTTTCAAGAACAAAATACAAGTAATCTCCTCTCCAATATGGCTTCGTTCCTACCAACATAGGAATGTAAAAGTAAATTCAAAATACATCATATTCAGATCCGTTAAAGGTCAAATAGATACTGGAAATGAATCCCTGGTTAGTTAAACGCTGATAAGATCCCAGCATTCAACGGACTTATAGTTGGGAAAAGTAGAATTATCAAAGTCCGCCTTTTTTTTTTTTTTTGAGCCAAACAAATTCTTTTGGGTTTAGCAGCTCTCGAGCAATTAATTGGCGTCCAAAGATTTTTTTTCTTTTTCATTCTCTCTTATCTCTCATTTCCTCCAGCCACAAAAATTCAAAGGCCAGTTGCAGGCCACTGGGCCTGGTTAGAGATGAGTGACGTTTGAAAACCAAGTACTTCCAATCCTTCCAGTACAGTCGACCCAAAGTCGTAGAGCTGTAGTATGACCACTCGCAGATCATCGGATGATCGAATGCCCAATGGATTCTCACTGTGTCTGCAATTCTATTTGACTCCAAGACTCGAGCAATCGAGCTACATACCTTTTATTTGCCTGAGATTCGAGCTATATACTTGCCACATACCTTTATGCACTCGGCACTCTTCACTAATGCATAAACCCTTGATCAACCAAATGAAATACTTAGGCAAAACGAGCACCAATTTGCCCCACAAAACTTGCATCGAAAAGCTTGGAACTCATAAACTCACCATTCATGCATCAGCAGGCACTTCAAGGGACAGATTGTAATCCCCAGTTGAACTAATTCATCAAGCATCGAGAGAAAGGAAAGGACCCCTTTTAATAAATAGCTTACAATTCAACTACAGCACCTAGGATGCCGTTGAACAATGTCATTCCTGGCCACACACATCAACCAGCTCAAAATAACTAGTATCAGTTTGAATCCCCAAAGTTTTAACATCCGGATTTAATTTTGATGAACCAAATGTTGTAGCAAGTTTGTTAAAAGAGCATCTACACTAATGTAAGCTTATATATGGAATAAGATTCACAGAATAATACTCATTCAAACATCACTCCATATCTTCCGGTATCTCCAGTATAAAGAGTGATCACCCATTTGAAACAGTATCAGCTAAGCCCAATTATATCCTCCTCTCTAGCATCAGCAGCAGAAGATTTTTCCTCCTTTCCAGCAACTGCACTTTGTGTTGGACCATCTTCAGATGGCTTAACATCACTTTCTGTAGTTCCTGAGGCTTCACCACTGCCATCCCCTTCAGTTACTGGAACTGTCTTCTTGATGGTTCCAACCTTAACATACTTCGTCATGAACTTGTACTCCCAATCCTGCAAAGCCTCCAATTCAAATGGACCAAGACCTGAGATATCTCCAGTTAAATCTTTTTCTTCAAAAGACATCTTTGCAAGAGCTCTGCTAGCATCCTTTCCAGCAAATAATGCATAAGGTCCACCAGGTCCATAAAACATTCTGCAAGAAATATTACATTCAGGTAACAGCTAAGAATTTTCTGATTCATTTTAATGCATGATTCTTGCATACATATGATTAACCAACCTCTCGCAAATTCCAAAATCATAAAGAATTTCAGCACAAATTATGTTAAAGTTCACTTGAAAAATTGATACTCAAGTGTTCCCAACACATTATGTGTAGTTCGTATGTGACAAAAATATCATCAAACCAGCATGGTATTACAATAAAAGTCTGAAGCCACAAAATAAAGTACTATCAGTGGTACTAAATTTAGTCACTTACAATGTGAATTACTCTAAAACTATGCAAGTTGATAAACTTTTTGACGTTATAAATTAAATTTAAATAAACTATATGACCAAAGAAGCACAAATAACTTAACAGAATTCATGCAAATCACATCAAATAGGAATAGTTGAAGACAATTTAAGCTACAAAAACTTCTTTAGCCTTAGAAGTATAAATTATTTCAGTTAAAACGAACACAAGCACATTGGTTAGGAATAAAGTTGGGTCATGTCAGATCAAAAGATTAAGCTTAGTCAAGTTCAAGGCTTACCTCAAACTCTCTTTCTCGACTGTGTGCATGAGGTGCATGTGTGTAGCTGCATTAGAGAGAGAAACAGGAAAAAAGGAAAACACAGGACAGAGGCGTGATCCGATACATACTGAAATATAGTGTTCCAACTATTAGTTGATGAGATACACAGTTCACAAAACAGACATAGCTGTTTATCTTTTGCTTAATTGAATTGATTATATACTACTTCCTAGGAATTAAAATACACTTATATCACTCAAGGTACAATAACATGTTAACGTCCGTGATCAGAAAGACAGGTTAAATATCCAGATGAAAGGGAACGGCACCATATTGTTCAATTTTCATTTTTTTTTTCACTCGGTCAAAACATGTGATTCAGGGTCAAAAGCCTAGAACTTTTAATTACACAAGCAATCGTGTAACAGAAAATTTACTTGAAATTAACTTGTTTTTCTAAATCTAAAAACAGCGCATCTCACAATTTTGGCACTAATTATCCAATATTAAGAAATGAAATGCAACCCATCACCGTAATTAAATGGACCACCTAACTATTTTAAATTTTATCAATCATAAGCGACTCAATTATTGAAAAGAACTTAATATCCATCAACTTTAAGTTAAAAGAAACCAGCAGAGCAGCAAAAAGCTGCAACCAAGACAGCTTTCAAGTTTAACTATGACTTAGAGCAAGTGTTAAGTAACATAGAAGAAAAAAAATAGTCATTTCTAGAAAACCCCAAAAGCAATACTTCATAAAAATAAATAAAAGCCCCAAAATTTTCATACCCAAAAAGCTACCATAACAAAGCTGACTTTCCAACACATCCTTTGAAGCACCCCCCCCCCCCACAAAAAAAAAAAAAAAAAACACAAAATCTCAACTCAAAATAAAAGAAAGTAGCAGCTTTAAACCTGCTTTCAGAAACATCATAGATCTGGGCCTTGATGGCCATGAGGAGTGGTTTCTTGGAATCAGAACCATCATATTGCTTAAGTTCCTCCTCGGTAATCTCGCCGAGCTGAACTGGAGGTGGGAGCGGCTCCATCTGCTCCTCAAAAGCCCTAGTCCGTTGGTGATGATCATCGGACGACCCAAATAATCCTGTTATTACATAGTAAATGGCCCACAACAGAGCAAGAACCGTAAAGAAAGTGGCCGGAGATAGACCCGTATACGCCCTTATTGCCTCCATGAAAGTCTCCCATAGCTGTAAAGCCATCGCTTAGAAAATATCTTTTCTTTCTTTGTTTCTTCTGTTTGGCAAATTTTGTCTTAACTCAGAGTCTTCAGTAGTTTTGTCTGCTCAACCCAACGGAGAATTAGTGTGTTTGTTTAATTCCACACCGAAGCAGATCGATGGAATTTTGTTTTCTTGACTTCAGGGTAATAAGGTGATTCGATGGCAGGGCAGGAATATCAAGTGTGGCAACGTCCATGACAAGAAGGAGCCCCTCCACCAACTTCTTTCTTCCAAGATATTTTCTTGGCATAAATAATAAAAAATTCTGATGAAAATTTTTTTGTAGAAACTAATTAAACAGAAGTATTTCATTTCTATTTTCAAAAAAAAAAAATGCATATCATTTCTTCTATCCAAGTCCAACCACATGATTCAAACTTAATATATCAAAATATGAGTTTTGATTTTTTTTTTTTTCGTATACATCGGGGGATATTTTATTAGAAAGGATCCGTTTTTTTTTTTTTTGAAATTTTATTATTAGATATTTAATTTTAATATTTAATTTAAAATAATTTAATTTTGAGAAAAAATGACATATTTTTAATAATATTCAAAGTTTTAAAGTAAAAATTTACTTTTTTTTGTAATATTCTAAGATTTTATGGGAAAAAATTATGTTATTTTTAAATCTTACCTAAATAAAATTATTAAATAATTATTATTATTTTAAAAAATATGTCTGAAAGTGACTATAAATTAATTATAGATTTTTACTATTAAACTTTTTTTATATTACAATTAATGATATTTGATATGAAAAACATCTTAAATAATCATGTTTAATTTTTTAAGATTATTTAAGGTATTTTTAAATAAAAATGACTTAAATAATCTTATTCATTTTTTTATTATTTAAGTTATTTTTAACCAGAAAATATTTTAAATAATTTTTTATAAAAAATTGAATGAGATTATTTAAGGTATTTTTAACTAAAACATATTAAATAATTTCAAAAAAAATTGATCAATATTATTCAATACATTTTTTTGATAAAAAACACCTTAAATAATCATTCAAAAAAAATAATTTTCAAAAATAAATGCTAAAAATAAAAATTAAATTTATAACTTTATGGTTAATAATTATATATTCTAACCAACTGAACTACTTCAATTTTTTTATATTTTATCTCTTAAATCTTATAAGTAGTGAAATGAATTATTTAAGGTATTTTTAGTAAAAATAATTTTAAATAATATTATCATAAAAATTGAAATGTATTATTTAAGATATTTTTAGACCAAAAACACTTTATAAATTTTTTTATACATTTTAAAAAAATTATTTAAAGTGTTTTTGAATAAAAATACTTTAAATAATTTTTTTAAAAAATATTACTATTAAAAATATTATTTGTCGTTTGAATATTTATTCTTAATAAAAATTAATAAAAAATTATCATCTTATATGTTAAAAAAATTATGATAATTATTCAAGAATTAATATATAATAATTTTTTAAATAAATAAATAAATTTGAATACAAAATATTTTTAAAATAAAAAATTTTTAAAATATCATTTTTTTTTAAAGATAATTGTTTTTAATTTAAAATTCTGTTAACCAAATTCGCTGTAAAAGAATAGAGGATGATGAAATTGCCGAGAGCCTTTGGATCCCTATGCGAGAGGTTTGGAATAAGCTAGGCAAAGCCTACTTAAGAAGGTTCAAAAACCATGGCTTCCCCCTCGGCGTAGTCTTTCTACTTTATATTTATATACTCTGATGAGTTCAAGCTTTATAAAGAAGCACGATAAGGCTGAAGAATATGCGGTCAAAAGTAAAAAATTCCTTGCAAAATTTAGAAATACCATTTTTTTTTTTTACAGTTGTCAGCTTCCGAGATTATATATACAGATATAGTGATATAGATAATATTTTTATATATTTTTTAAATAATATTAAAATTTTATATAGTCATATATTATTAATTTTATATAAATATATAAATATAAAATTTATTATATTTTAATTTATTTCAATATTCTAAATATAAAACACATTTTTTTTAATTTTCCGTACTTCAAATACGTCGCTTTCTTTTTTTTTTATTTTATTTTTATGTGACGTCATCGATAGTGTCTAAAATTACCTCGTGCACCATGTACCAAAATTTGCACTCCCCCAGCTTCGTTTAAACTTTTACCTATTTACTTTTGCCTCCCTCATTGTCTCCTCTCTCTTCCATCTTTGAACTTTAGAGGTTATAAAGAAACGATTTTGCCGCCAGAAAAAGAAATGTTTCAACGGTTCGGTAGATTTATACGGTTAAAGCTTTTACGATTTCGGAGTGTAATTTTGGGAGAGGAGAGAGATGGTAACGTCACCGGTGGTGAACACGAATCCATTGTCTAGCTACACCTTTGGCACCAAAGAGGCTAAGATGGAGAAGGACACGTCCGTCGCGGATCGCCTTGCTCGCATGAAAGTCAAGTAATTTTATCACATTCTCCATTTTATTTTTCTTATTTAATTACATTTTTTTGAGGATTTTTAAAACCTAGATAAACCCCAATTCTCCTTTTCGTTCCCGAGAATGCCGAGCTCAAGTTGGTTTTTTTTTTTTTTATGCGGTTAAGATTCCTTTGTGCTATTGAGTTTCACAAACATGAAAAAAAAAAAAAAAAGAAAAGGAGCTAATTTTGAATTGCGTATGTTGGACTGTTCGAATTAATTCAGTCAATGATCTAAGATTCGATTCTTCGCTATTCTTAGACCATATTGGGAAGTGAGGGGAATTTGTAGTTTAAAACGAAGTTACTGATAAAAACAATATAAGATTTGAACTGAGCTTTGGATTTTGTTTCTCATGTTTTACATTAAGGAAAAGTGTCCACATTTTTTCTATTTTTGGGGAAACTTTGAGCTTTCTTAAATTTCTGTGATTGTTTTTTCTTTTCTTTTCCAAAACCCCAAAGCAAAACCCAAGAAGGCAAAGTTGAAGCTATTTTACTGGTACGTTAACGTGTTTCTGTTTGGCCATTACATCATAATAGACCAAGCAGAATTTATCGTGAAATGTTTATGCTTCATTTACTTTTCTGAAACTTTGTGGTTGTATTTTTCGTCCCTAGTTTTCTACACAGAGTAGTCATGCTGTCATGTTTTAATGTTTTTATTTTGAATTATTTATATTGATAATCCTCTGTAGCCTGCTTTCTGTAGATTTTACTAGTAACAATGTTTTTTTTTTATAAAAGATTCATTGTGTTGAAACTTCAGAAAGACTTAATGCTCTAGTTGTATTTAATTTTTCATAACAAATCTTTCGCTATTATGATAAATGCATTTTATTGCAGACTTAGTGCATTTTTCTGAGGAGGAAAAATTAGAATACCCTGTAAATTTGAAGTTTTTATGAGATAGTAACTTAAACATTTTGGCCTGTAGGAATTTGAAACTACCATATTCTGAAAACTGCTAAAGGTTTCCGTGTTCCATATTTGGTTGAATAATAAATTGACTCCATTTAGAAAGAAAAAGGTCATTCAAATATGTGATAAAGCTTCTAATTCTTACTTTTCAATTTAAGGCCATTACTTTATTAGTCTGTATGATTGTCTGCTAGTTGTTTAACAAACAAGGAAAGGCTCATTATTGTTTACCAGCTTTTCATTTAGACGAATGCTGCTCCAAAATCACAGCTTGGTTCGTACTTAAGCATCAGCAGTCAATATATCTGTGCTGTTGCTTTTTATCATGGAAAGGGAGGTTGTTTTTGCATCTCAGAGGTCTCTAGCTTGTAACGTGTTTACATATGACCACAATAGTCAACCTGACAGAAATTTGTAACTATGTCATACATATGTAAAGAGGAAATTGTGGATCAAAAAAAGAGGAATGACATCCTGATACATGAAGGACTCCTTTTCAGAGATACAGAATTTTATATGTTTGTTTCATTATGATTGACTATGATAATATCTAAAGGAATTACCATTCTTTTTGGCATTATGAGTTTTTGTTGTACTTTTGCTACTTTCCTCCTCCATCTACAGCTTACCAAATACCATTATCATTGTGTGGTTTACAAAAATTTGGGTTATAAGGTGACTATTTTAGTGCCTGTTCTTCCACTTCTTCTGCTATTTTCTCATGCAGGTCCAAGAACATAATCATCCTCACATTCTTCTTCTGCAAATTGGGAACACATTCTGCAAACTTCCTGGTGGATGCCTGAAGCCTGGAGAGAACGGTATCATTGTACTTCTAACTTTTTTTCCTTAAATATCATAATGTTTATCTTTCTCCATGCATCTTTTCTGCTTTGCTATTTTGGAGATTCTATGTTGGTTGTAACACCTATTCTCTTCTCTTTTGGCTTCAGAGATTGAAGGTTTGAAAAGGAAGCTGACCAGCAAACTTGGAGCTAATTCACCTGCTCTTACTGGCAGGTACAGATGTGTTGTAATTATCTTACCATGATGAGGAGGACATGTTATCCTCACATATTCTTTTGAACTTTGACTGTGATATAGTTTGTAAACAATTTCTTTTAATGCTTAATTCTGTCCCTTATTATGTTGTTGCAGATTACTGAGTGTGTGGCCATCTGGTGGAGGCCCAACTTTGAGACAATAATGTATCCATATTGTCCTCCCCACATCACAAAACCCAAGTTAGTGTGCAGTTATTCTTGATCTTTATGTTACTTTATGTGGCTATTTATGAGCTATGCTTATTTTTATCAACCTTCTCTATTATTGATATTGCAGGAGTGCAAGAAGCTTTTCCTTGTTCACTTGTCTGAGAAAGAGTACTTTGCAGTACCAAAAAATTTGAAACTTCTTGCTGTGCCGTTGTTTGAGCTTTATGATAATGTTCAGGTAGTGTGTATACCTACTCTTAATCCATTCTTCAACTTGATTTTTAATTTGAGTATTGCAATTTTCTATTCCTTTTATTTTAAAATTTTTATATTTGAGTTAATAAATATATGTTGGGGAATTCAAGATTTAAAAAGCTTGGTAAAGGGGAAATCGAGAATGAATTGTGGATCTGGGGCAAATTACCTTGGCAAATCATATGTTTCTTCTCTAAGATCATGTCTGCTCTTAACAGCCAACTTTATTTCCTTTTTCCTTTCCTCTGTTTTTCTACAACTAATTTCCTGCATTTTAGTGAAATGGTAAACAGTTGTTTTGCTGCTTATATATTCCATACTGTTTCTACTGGCGCTTAATAAGAATAAGAATTTTTATTTTTTATCTTTATTGCTCTTCTGGTTCTTTCCTCTAACAAACAGCACTAAAATGTTGAACAGAGATATGGACCTTTTATATCAACCA